GCAGAAGGTCCCCTGGAAAAGGGCTGGTAGGACTGTAATGCTCCATGACTGCTCTGCGAGTGCACTTCACATCTTGAGTGCTCACTGGTTTGTTTTGTTGGAACTGCAGATGGGGAAACAAGATTTGTGGGAGCTTTCATCCTTCATTCTCTGCAGTAATGTAGATTACTAAAGGTTGGTCAAATTAGCAGAAATAAGGTTGAATCCTTTCCCTAAACTGAAAAAAAAAAAAAAAAAAAAAAAAAAGAAAAGGAGAAAGCTGCTGAGAAGTTTGGTTTCACCAAGAAATTCAAGCCTACTGGGCTTGACACTGTTAAGCCTGTATCTGCTTACAATATCTTGAGCTGAAAGAGCAGATGGGGTAGAAGGCTGAGCACTGACTGAAACCTGCCTGGGTTCCTGCTCCTCAGTCAGAGCCACTGGCTTTAGCAATGGTGGGATCTTTAAAGGCAGGAGTAGAAAATGAACTCTGTCACTTCTTACACAGTGTAGCTGTAAGTTAGGAATGGTGAATGATTTAATACAGAGCATGAAAGATGTTTTTACCTCCAGGTTCAGTTATTGCAAGTCAGATGACTGAGCTACATCAGATGATAAATTTGACAGGAAAATGCTTTTCTTTTCAGAGGTCCTTGGTATTAGGAATTCATGGAGGGAATCAATGCAGCCACAGATACTAACAACTAGTCCTGCTTCAACTAAAGGGCAGCAGATTGTGACTTCAACTAAAGGGCCCCATCTGAGAAGGGACTCTTATGTATCTTTGGAATTATCTAAGTATAGATTTAAATGAGATGAAGGAAGGTTTAGTCATCTCTCAGTGCTTTGTTTTGTTTTTTTTTTTTGTTTTTTTTTTTTTTTTTTCTGCTGGCTGTAAAGAGATGGTACAGAATCATTCTGAAATCAAGAACAACTGTACCTTTCGGCTTTCCTCAACATGCCACAAATTTGTGAATGCAAGAATCAAAATCTTTCTCAAAATCGTTTCAGCTCTGTCTCTTCCCAAGAGCCTGCTTTAACACCTGCACTTTGTAGTAGCTTCAGAGTAATTCAAGTCAAAAGAGAAAAAGCTTTACCTTGGGATGTTATCTCTAAAATCTGACTGTGGGGAAAGCTGTGAAATGCTCTGAATGTAAACCTCTGGCCACAGTCAAGATTCTAGAAAGAACAGAGTCTGGTGTGAAACCAGGTTTGTTATTGGGAGACTTGGTGTGATTTACAAAACTACCGGAGCCATTTTTGCAAGGGATAGGGTGAGCTTGACTAGGAGCTGCTTGACCTGTTGTGCCTCTAGAGGAGGAGTCATAACAGGATGCACAACCCACAGCTGCAAGCATTAATGCACAACTGAGAGAGTGTACCCTGGAGGTTCCTTCTGTGATTAAATGGATACCTTAAAAATACAGTGGCTTCTAGGATGTATGTGGAGAATTCAGGCTCCAAACATCATTATCTCATACACTTTCAAGCTGTGTCTAGACAAGATATTTATAGGCTATCAGCCACCACACTGAATGCCATTACTCAACAAGTGGAACAATCCTGTAATTGCATCACATTACTTAGGCCATTTGTATGTTTTAGAGCCTTTAAGTTATCTACTTTCTCTTGGGGTCTCCAGTGTGAGATCAGCTGATGATGCTCTGTAGCTCTATTGAAGTTGGAACGTTCTGTTTTCTCTACTATTTTTCTTTTGCTGCTCCCTAGCATGGTGGTCACATTTGTACCATGGAAGATTGCTAAGGACTGTCAGAGCTTTTAATGACACTCTAAAACAGTAATTTTCAACATGTTTTGATACTTAGAATTTCTAAAAAGTGCTAAAGACCCCTTTAGAAATTTCAAGTATGTGGATTGTTGAAGAGTCTATGTGAATTTACTTTTTCATAGCAATGTTTCACAGAACACAGATAAAAAACTGATGAGTATCAACAACCCACACACCAGAAAACTTCTAAAATCCCTTAGACAGGCAGTTCCTTTCAGGTGCGACATGAAACCATCTTAACTACTTTTTCAGTCCTGAGAATAATACTCCATTTCTCCAGGATTTTTCTCCTATGCCTGTTGCATCTTGCTATCCAAATAATCTTTTATCATAATTAGAATATTCTTTGTCCAAGGTTGTACTTTTATACTTCTGTTTTCATATATTCACAAGGCTTGGTTTTATGTGTTCTTTGTTACTTTAGTAGCAGTAAAGTTCTGCTTAATCTTCCATGAAGATCTGGCATAACAATGAATCATTCTTACCATTAAATCTTTAGAAACTAGCCCCTGCCCCCCATAAATTCACATTTTCAACTCTAGTCTTAGAATGCGGTGTTTTTGTACCTCCTGCTCATAAATAATTTTAACAGCATTTTTCATTTATTACATTTCTTCTACTTAACTAAATGTTTGTACCATATGGTCTTCAAGCCTCTAGAACTGTACGATAGAAATGGAGTTTTCTGCCTTTGATGGTGTCTCTAAATATGTGTGGAATAAGGATGCTGAAGAGTTTGCTAGAAGCTGTGTCAAGTGTGATGGTTGGAAGATCTCCCTGAGCTCTCGCACTTTAGCTCAATTTGGGTTTGTGACTGAGTTTGGGTCTGCTTGTGAGTTTGGCTGTTCAGACTCTGTTTTGAAGTTCCAGCTGTAGGAACCTACTGACCCAAGGGCTACAAGAAGAAAAGGGAGGTTCTAAAAGCGATGAAAAGAAAAATGCTGGTGATTGATTTTGGGCATTTGAAATGGAATAGTAGGTTTGAAATCTTCTAACAGGTGCTGGTTTTACCTTTCCTACTACCTCTTTTTTCCCATAGCTTTTGAGAATCTATGCAGCTATGTGACACTTTTGAGTGAACTGAGATGAAAGTTGTTTGTTTTCCAGATGGGAAAGGAGACTAGATTTGTGGCTTTTGGAGCTGACAAAGTAGAGGACTCCTACAAGGAGAGGAGATGACTTTAAAAATACATTAGTTACAGTTTTTACAGTCCCATTAGGATTTCTCAGTTTTCTTATTGACATCTCATGCTTTTTCCAGTTAGTGCCATTGCCACATGCTTTCTCTAGATTATTGTTTATGTGTCACAGCTGCGTCTGAGAGATAGGAGCATCCTCTCCTTCTGTCTAATGAGAGTTAAAGATGTTCAGTACCCTTCAGAATCAGACTTTGCTATCTTTTTTTTTTTTTTTTCTGTTTCACTGAGTTTAAGAAATATATTAGAAGGCAGGAGTTATTCATATTATAATTGAATTCCATACATGAATGCTGTGAGAGAATCAAATACAACAAGCTGCAGTGAGTTGCCCTGATTCTATTTTGTATAGTAACAGTATGGCCAAACTAGAATATTAAAAACAGTTTTTTAGAGTAGGGAGTAAATAGGCAACTAAGTGGGAAGTAAACATCTCCATCTTTTAAAGAAAACTTAGAGAAACACAGGAAAATATGTTGTCAGAAATAATCCTGCAGTGTGAAGTAAATTCACCAGGTAATGGGGATTTTCTGGCAAATTCCTATAATTACTCACCTATCACAGAATTTTAACATGTTACCTTACAAACCAGCATAAAAAAAGTTTGCCTCCTTTGCTCCTTTTGCTAGTTGTTCAGCAGCAATTAACCAGTAAACACATGCTGGTCACTCGTTTGTGGTTCTCACAGTAAGAGTTGTGCTCAAATGAAGACAGGAGCACTGAAGCCAGAGAATCTTAACCTTTGTACCTAAGTTTACTCTGATGAAGTTTACTCTTCTCAACAAGCACTCTCGTGAAAACAAAGTAATGCACAGTTATAAATCTTTGCAAGATTGGTACCTGAATTCCCAATACAGGATTGAACTTTATATTGCTGATATTGAGCTCTACTGCAGAGGACAGTGAAGCCAGTGGAAAGCCTCCCAATGAATTCCACAGGATATATATCAAGCTCAAAATGAGCAGTGAGCGTCCCGATTATTTTTTATGGCTCTTGCTAAGTACCTTCCATGAGGCCTACAGGATTTAAAAATAAATAATCGATATTAAGATGTAAAGAAAGCTTTAAGGACATATTTGGCAGTGAGTCAAGGTCTGCGCTTAAGTCTGGGTGGTGGTAGTTCACTGAAGACGGTGGGGATGCAAAAGTGTGAAGGAGGCACCACACACTTCACCATCAGGGTAAAATGGTGGGGAGAGTTTAGTCAGAAGGAACGAGTAACCATCTGGCTGCGTGTAGGGAGGTAAGAGGATGAGGGTTACGACTGTAGTAACACATACGAGGCTGCCAGCTACGTGGTTCTGAGTCTTTTATTTAAAGACAGGCCACGTCCTCACAGACCCAAAAGCTGATGGGGATTCCCCTCAGCCAGTTGCAGATGAGCCGACTGATGAAGGGTTATTTAGGGTTATCCACTTGTCCTGTTGATGAAGAACATCTGTTACACAGCTGACAATCTTGAGAACTGTGCATCTATACCAGGGAGAGAAAACAGACAGTGCTTGGACACATACGGTGCAGGAGAGCCCTCTCACCCCGTGGTTTACCTCCCTTACCTTGTCCCTGTTGCCTGCCCTGACAGGGATGTGCCTGCGCGGCCTGTCCAGAACCGGCACCATTTTCCACCCCTTCGCCAACATAAATGGCGGCCACAGGGGCCGGACCCGGGCCCGGGGGAGCACAGGTGTCGGGAGCGGCCAGGCCAGGGAAGAACAGCTCTGATGGCGGAGGGGGATGAATTTAAGCGCGTTGCTCGTCACAGGCTGGGCGGGGGCGGGGGGGGGGGGGGGGGGGGGCACCTTGACCTGCGGGCAGCGCACCTGGAGGGCAGCACAAACCCGTTTCCTCACCCTTTCAAACATCGAACGGAGGCACTCGGCAGCCCCCCCGGGCGCAGGGAGCACCCAGGTTGCCGGTGGGGCTCGGTTTGGTCGCCCGAACCCCGGCAGCGCCGGCCCCCGCCGCGGGCAAGAACTACAGCGCCCGGCGGCCCCTGCGCGCCGCCCCCACCTTTCCCGCCTCTCGCCGCCGCCGCCCGCCTCCTGTCAGCGAGCAGCCCGACCCGGCTCGCCCGTGAGGGGCTGCCGCCGCGGGGAAAGGGGGCCGGCGGCGGCGGCGGCGGGGTGGAGCGGAGCGGGGCGGCCCCGGCCCCGTGTGGGGGAGCGGCGTCCCCCCCGCAAGCCTCGCTGCCCCGTCCCGTCCCGTCCGGTCGTCGTCGTCGTCGCCGCCGCGGTTCATGAGGTGAAGATGGTGATCCGAGTCTTCGTCGCCTCCTCCTCGGGCTCGGTGGCGGTGAGTGAGGGAGGGCGGGCGGGCGGGCGGCGGGGAGAAGAAGGCTCAGCCCCGGCGGTTGGCAGCCGCCGCTCCCCTCGCCGTCCCCGCGGTTGCCGGTGGACCGGAGGGGTCGGGAGGCTGCTGTGAAACGCGGGTCTGAATTTGCCGGGGTTGCGTTGGATTTGCAAACGGGGGGTGTGGGGGGTGTGTGTGGGACATGACAACTTCCCCCGCCGCCTCCAGAAAGGCTGCCGAAGCTTAACTTGCTCGTGAATTGTCTTCGGCAAAAGCAAGCCCCCCTGAAACCTCTTCGCAGGGGACCAAATTTTGGGTGTGTGTAGAGGGGTCTTAAAGGTGATTAAAGTGGGCTAAGCTTGCTTGCTTGGGAGGGGGGTTCAGCGCCTTGGTGCGGGGGGGAGACCACCCCGAGGCACGCTGAACCCGGTCAGGTGCGGTGCCTTGGTGCCTGCCAACTACTGCAGGTTTAAAAAATAAATAGGAGAGCCTAGAGACAAACTTCAGTCCACTAGCACCTCTCTGCATTAAGAAATACTTTGGAAAAGGTACAACTCTTTTCAGACTTGGTTTTGAAAGGCATCAGTGCGTCCTCTGCTTAATTGAAGCTCTTGTTGAGTTAGTCATGCATGTGACCTATGAATTTCCATATTTTCATATAAAGTGACAGCTCTGATTTCCGTTTAGGCAGTCTGAGTGTTATCGTTCTACTGAATTTGTTCTTTAATGAGAAATATCTGAAGGATTTAGATATAATTGCTATTCTTTATGCTTCAGCAGTGAAGGCGGCATCATTTTTGCATTGCAGAAGGTTACAGTACTGTGTTTTCCCATCTGAAGGTTTATTGTGTGTTTACTTCCCTCAGCCTTTTACTGCGTGATACTTGTTTTCAGTTCAGTGGCATGGTGACAGGTATGTGTTCTGATATGTTTTGGCATGGAGCGTTCAAAATGCTTAGTGGCTGCATTACAGCTAATAAAAACTAATTATTCGTTTCAGTAGCCAACTGAGTAAACATAGAGCATCTTCAGGACTCTATAATCCATGTTCATCACGCATCCATAATAGAAACATCTCCTTCCCCACACGGGCATTTGGTTCATGCTGTGGTAGCTCAGTATTGCTATATTTAGTTCCTGTTACATGCTTTATAGCTTGAAGAATAATGCATAGTTTTATATTTTGTTTCTGTTGAAGGGGGGAAAAGGGCCACATAATTAGCTCACCCAAATCTCCTGTTCTGACCAGTCTGCAAATAGGTTATTGATGAGTTTTTGATTCTGTCGTCTCCTTCCCCTGTCTCTGCCTGCAAGGTACATATCCTATTCAGCAGCAGCAATATATCCCTCTTCACTATTTATTAACTCAGCAAACCAAACCTGAGGTTGACAAGCAATTTAATTTGCACATTAGTTCACTTTCTGACTGTTTTTTCCTGTGTTGGACAACAAGAAGATGATGTGTTATATGAATAACAGTTTGCATACTGTTGATAGTCAACTTTCTTCATCTAGACAGCAGTATGTCTGAGTACAGCCTAGCCAGAGAAGAATAGATAATTTAGTGATTGAAAGTACTGTTAAACAGGACCAGAGCTGTGTCCTGTTTCTGTCAGTTTTTCTTCACCTGTGTTAACACAACATTTAGGAACCTTTGCTATGGGCTGGATTCCTGCTGTGCTCAGTGTTGCATCACCAAGGCTTTTTTCTGTGGGCTTTGCAGGGGGTGCCCGTAGATCATGGCTAAGTGATTGAGGAAAATGACAAAGAAAAAAATATTATCAGCTGGTTATGTGGGAATCCCCATCTGGAGAAAAGAGTTGTTACTGTATTTCACGTCTCTAAACAGGGAAGTTTTAAACTTAAGTTTATCCTAGAACTAAACATTTGTGAAATGAAACAAAAAGTGTTTGAGTCCTGTAACTCCTTGTTGTCTCCAGCCTTCAGCACAACTACATCAACTGCTTTTTGGGATCCTGTGCAATTCATGAGACAAGATGATTCCCCTGTCTAGAGAAATGAGTATCCCCTACAGATCCTACTCTGCTTTCTGCTAAAAACAGTGTCAGAATCCATGGTTTAATTTCCACCTATAGGTCAGCTTTAGTCAAATTGTAGGCTAGCTGCTTGTGAGAGTGGATGTGGCTGAGGTTAGTATTTGACCTGCTGTAATTGACCAAAACTGTCTATACGTAATATTTGCTGATAAACCAAAAGCAATGTCATAGTGACACTGTTCAGTTTCCTAATCTCACTAGAATGCTTTGCTAAATTACTCTTTATTTTAAAATGGGAAGTCCATCTAGTCCCTACAGTAAGCTTGTGGTTCATTTGTTACCTCACCAGCAGTGTGCTGCTAAAGGGGGACACTTTTCTATCATCTTTCCTCTTTGTGCCTGGAGTAAGACTGGTCTGAGTTTGCAGAGAGAGAGGGGTGAAGACAGCTATTTGTTTAAATAAAAGTAATATGCAGCAATTTCCATATGTTAAATGGTGAAAGAGATGATATTCCATAGCAACTATAATAAACTAAACTCTTTGTACATGACTCCTTTTGAAAGCTTCAGAATACTCCAGTCAAGTGATAGGCATTTGGCTGAAACATTCCTGAGAAATATACTGGTTGTGTAGTCAGCAAAGGCTTCAGTTTGCATAAATATAACTTCCCCTGGAAATTTTTGAAATGTTTATTGGTCCTGATACTTGGTGTAATTTATTTTGTGCTAAAGAAGAAAAAAAATACATAGCAGTCATACATAATTCTAAGAGTTCCGCATATAAAATGTTTTGGGGGTCATTCTGGAGAATGAGAAAAGGAAACGGAGTGAATGAGAAAAAGCCAAGAACAACGTAAACCTTCTCTCCATTTGGTCTGGGACTTCTCCCTGCAGCATCTTCCTCACATCTGAAGGCTCTTAGACTCCCAAGAGGTTAATGGTAGTAACTTTTTTTTTTTTCTTCTTTTAAATAAAACTTGTGAATATAAATGCCTCATGAGCTTAAAAGAGCTCACAGATCCCAAAACCTAGTTGTTACTTGTCACCTTCAGTGTTTATGGAAGCTGGACAGTGGGTTTACCCTTTAGGGGTGCTGTAGACAAGTTCCTGGGACCTCCTTGTGGGAAGGGAGGAGAGAGGCATTGTGTGTATCTGTACGTTTCTAAATAACTGCCTGTTGTTTTAAGCATGCATTAGGCAGATCCAATTGAATCACAATGGGAAGCCTCTGAATAGGCAGGCAGGCATGTTTCTACAAGCCTTACTGTCTCCTACGTTTTCTGACCTGAATTTGTGTCTCGAATTCCAATCACTTCTTTGTAGAACTGGGGAGGCAGGCTTTACTGCTCCTCCCTGATAAGAACAATCAGTGGTCTTTTGTGCTTAGGAGAAAGGCTACTTCAAAATTAGCCTTTACTTTTCTACTGCAGTGGTGCTTCACTGTTTTCAGGAAATAGTTTATGCCTGCATTTTTCACCAAATCATTCCAAGGTGCCTGTAATTTAATCTGTTTCACATTTTCCAGTCTATCAATAAAAATTTACATTTGTGCTACTGTACTATGTATTTACTCAGTTAAATGGTTTTCAGTGTTTTAAAGCAGCTCTACCTTTGACAGGAAGCTGGTAGTATGAGCTAAGTAACTCTATGACTGAAATTCCTATAGTCATCTAGAAATGCCAGACCAGAGGAGATTTCTGTCTTCTTGCAGGTAGAGGACTGAATATCAGGTAAGGGGAATGTCATTGAAGAGCTTTCAAGTAAAGGGGAAACTTCAAACAACTGTCTCACTCGTGCTTTCTCCTCTGTGGTAATAATTTATTGCCTTGGAGCTTCATCTGTTAAGCTAAACAGATATTGTAGTAGAGTTATTGAAATAACAGAACAGCAGGTAGAATCTCCTTTGACCAGTGAGAGATGTGAAACACTTTCCTATTGAAATTTTTGTGTGTTCATGAGATGTGAAAACCCCATAACTGAAATGAATTGCATTTAGTGTACAAGGGCAAGTTCTGCTCAGCCACATTCTCCACGAGAACATGTTTAGGGGCACAGGAGGATTTGGGGAGAATAGCACCAACCTGAAACAAATAGACTTTTTTAGATGACCAAAACTTAGACTTTGACTCTTGCTACTGAAGCGAATTACGGGTTTTTTTACTAGGAAACTTGATAAGATAGGTGCAATTATAGTTAAATTGTTTACATAGCAAATATTGGTTTTATGAGACCAAAGCTGTGCTTTTGTTTAAGCATATTATGGAGGTCAAAAGAGTTGGAATTTTTGTTTCCTGGAGTGACTTTAAATCACAGTATAAAACACTGGAATGTCAGAATAATTGCAGGCATGTTTGTTTGGTTTGCATGGTGTTGGATGGGGTAACAGACAAATACAATGCTAGGTTCTTAAGGCTAAGCTTGTCTCCTAGTGATAATGGTGACTTTCAACTCCACCCTTGTTTGTACAAAGTCATTGTAACTCAACATTTCTCACATCACTTCTCAGGAAGAATGTGCTTTTTGCTGAGAGGTGGGGAATAAATTAACTTAGAATAGGTCAATTCTAGAATATCCACCATCTAACATGTTTGGGGTTTTTTTGCCTCTCTGCACCTCAAAAGCAAAACAGTCAAAACTGAAACTGATTTGGTTGAGTGATACAAGTGCTTTTTCTGAAAACTGTATTAGTTATGGTGTTCATTTGGAGGGACTTACAACTTGTTGCATGTGATTTATGGAAATTCAAGTACCTATGATACAAAATATTAAGCTTTGCAAATCATAAACACTATGCTTTTGTAGTATAAGAAGTTTGTAAAATCAGATCATAGCAGCAAGTAAGCTAGCTTTTCAGAAAGGAGACAATAATCTTTACAATTAGAAGTGATCCTGCAATATTTGCATGGAAAATAGACAATACTGTGTTTATGCATTTAAAATACTGCTAACATTTGTCAGCCTGTTGTGGGTACACCTGCTGGATTGGATCCTCAAAGCCTGATTTAT